AAGTGATCTTTAAGCACTTTTTTTCCCCCTCAAGAATATCATTTTTTCTCAAATAGTCGTTTGTTGTGGCTCATTATTCTGTTATTTTTCCTTCTCATTATTTTATAGTAATAACATCTAAAATATGTAACAATAATTGGTAATAAGTAACTGTGTTGGGGTCAATATTCTCAGAAAGAATTCCCAGAAGAATTGATTATAAAAGCATGTAGAGGAGCTCCATTTTCACAAAATAAAATGTGTTCACCCATTTTTATAATTTTATAATTATCAAAATGACTCCATGGAAAAAGACTATATTTTAAGTAAATTGCAGGCTTGTTATTTTGCATTATCTGCATTCAACTTTGCCTCATGCAGTGGATATTGGTTGGTTCCCTTCCCAGCATATAATTCCTCATTGCTTCTTCTCTTGAGACTCTGTGGTTCCCAGGAGCCATCTATCCAGCATCCAGAGGTGAAGCACATGGACTGGGATTAGCAGATTCCTGCATCCTACCTCCCCTTCCACAGTGATTGGTTCAGGAGAAAGTGTATGACCTAGACCAGTCCAATCAAATCTTAGGACTTTTGCTGGGAATGCATTTTTCTGTTGCGTGTGAGCCAAAGGCATGTAGTCCTATGGTCTGCTGAGTTCAAGTTGGGGAGCTGTGCCTGGAATGGAACTAATAAATAGTAGGCAATGCAGGGGGACTGAAAGAATATAGGTTCTTGGTGACATGGCTACTTACGGAGTTTTCAATTATGTTAGCCTTTCTTGTTTTAACCAGGTTGAGTTGGGCTTTCTCTGAATTGTGACTGAAATCGCCTCACTGGAGCAGTGATTCGCTTGTTCTCCCTCATCAGCTCGGAACTGGCTGTTGAAAGTTTCTTCCATTTTCCCCTATCACTGTCTATTGACCATGTGCCACCAGTACGGACTGACTTGTTCTGGCTGACATATAGGTTACATACCGTGTAAACCTTGACGAGAAATGGTAGTTACACTCCCGATAGAGTATGCTCGGAAAGAGGTTGCTGAAGAAACCCCATACCCCTTTCCTCCTGAACTTGCTGTTCTTGGTGAGCAAGACACAGAGCT